TGGCCCCCCCCCCCCCCGCCGCTCCGCGGGCCTGGCGATGGCCGCCTGTCGCTCCCGTGTCCCCCCGGGGTGTCCCCGCGCCCCCCGCTGACCCCCGCGCCGCCTGTCTCTGCCCGCAGTGATCACCCTGCGCTGCATGGTGCAGTTCATCGGCCGGGAGACCAAGTACAGGTACGGGGCGGGGGGGCTGGGGGTGCCCCGGGGGGGGCTGCCGGCCCGCAGGGCCCCCTCTGAGCACGCTCCTCTTCCTCCCCGGTCCAGCGGGACGCTAAGCGCCTTCACCACGATTTACCGAGAAGAGGGCGTCCTCGGCTTCTTCGCGTGAGTGCTGACAACCGGGACCTCGGGGCGAGGCGGGCGGTGGGATCCGCTCCCCAAAATCCGCGGGCTTTGCTTGCCGCTCGGGTGTCGCTTCTCCCCGCGGCCGCAGCTCTGCTCTCCCGTTCCAAGAACCGCTCGGGTGCCGCCGGGGTGCACAGTTCCCCGTTCCGGGCTCCCCGGTGCGGATCGGGCAAACCCCCGCCTCGTAGCCACCGGCCCTGGGTTGCCGGGGTGACATCCAGCGCCTGGGGACATTAAAACAGAGCAAAGGTGTCGTAACCCTTCCCCGGGAGCACCGGCTGCAGGTGTTTTGGGTCCCTCTGGCAGCTCCCCTCTGCACCCGCGTCCTCTCGGAACCGCTTGTCCGAGCATCCCCGCTCCCGCGGCGGGGAGCTCCCCCCTTCACCCGGCCGCTCCCTCCCGTTCCCGGCCGGCTCTTCCCCGTTTCTCAGCCAGATCCGGGTCTGCCCCAGGCTGACGTTCCCGCTGCCTCTTCTCTTTCAGCGGCCTCATCCCCCGGCTCCTCGGGGACATCCTTTCCCTCTGGCTCTGCAACATGCTGGCCTACCTCATCAACACGTACGCGCTGGAGAACGGGGTACGGGCTCCGCGCCCTGCTCGGGGGGGCCCGGGGCGGGTTGGCGGCACCGCAGCAGCGTCACCGGTGCCGAGCTGACCGCGGTGAGGGACGGGGGCGGCTCAGGGGGGCAGGACCCCGCTTTGGGGTGGCAGCCCCGGGGGTTGAAGGTGCCTTTTCTCCTCCCGCAGGTCTCAACCATGGCTGAGATGAAGAGCTACTCGCAGGCCGTCACTGGGGTGAGCACAGCCCGCGCGCGCGTGCGTGTACACCCGCCTGTGCGACGCCGTCTCCCTGCGGGGAAGGGCGCGTTCCTGCGATCCCGCCTGTCCTGCGGCCGCTGGGCTGGGGAGCAGATCCTGAGGGATCGGCCCACGGGGGATGGAATGCTCTGGGGCGGCGGTGTGTCGCCCTGCGCGCCCGGCGGCTGACGGCCTTGGCCTTGCCTCCGCATTCCCTGGAGCCTGCGGGAGCAGGTTCCCTCCCCGGGACGGTCCCAGGGGATCTTTTGGGACTCGTTCTCCCCACGGGGAGGGATCCCTGCGGGGGCCGCGGGCCGCTGCCGACGGGCCCTGCTCTCCTTGCAGTTCTTCGCCAGCATGCTGACCTACCCCTTCGTCCTCGTCTCCAACCTGATGGCCGTTAATAACTGCGGGTGAGTCCTGCCCCGCCACGAGGGCGAGCCCGCGGCTGGCGTGGCTGACAGCCGTGTCCCTCCGCGCCGGATCACCTCCCGAAATTGCCTTTCCGAAGCTCCCGGGTGGCAAAGAGGTTTCAAACTCGCTGCGGGGTCGATCCCTCGGCGGTGGTGCTGCGGTGGGGGGGACGCGTGGGGCGGGAGCCTGGCCTTGAAAGGGCCATTTTGGGGTTCAGGCCAGCGTGGAGCTGCAGGGGGGCTGGGTCCTACCCCACCGGCTCGGTCCTGGGTGGAAGTAATTCCCCTCCCTTCCCCAGGCTGGCTGGGGGTCTCCTCCCCTACGCACCCACCTACTCCTCCTGGCTGGACTGCTGGAGCCAGCTGCACAGGGAGGTAAGCAGCCGCAGCCGGGCAGCGCCGGGAATGCCACCCGGCCACGGAGGAGAGCCGGGTGGAAGCCCTGCGGGGTCTGGGGTGGCCACGCCGGGGCTCCGGGTAGCCCTGACTCACCCGATGGTGGTCGTTTCCCCCTTCCAGGGCAACATGAGCCGAGGGAACAGCCTGTTTTTCCGCAAGGTGCCCGCAGGGAAGCGATACGTGTGGGAGGAGAGGAGGTTTCGCTGAAGCTGGAGCCGAGAGAGGAGTCGTGAAGCCGACGCTGGGCTCTGGAGGCCAGGAATTACGAGAGAGTGGTGATTTCTATACAGTTTTTTAAAAATCATTTAATGCTGAGAGATGAAGGCGGACGTGTGAGAGTGTCTGTGGCGGGGCCGGGGGCTTCCCGGGGGGGCTGCCGCCGATCTCCAGTGTTGCCGCCCCGATCCCACCGCCGGAGCGCTGTCCCTGTTATCCCCCATTCCCCTATCGTTTATCCGACCCCTTTTCATCAGCCTGACGCCCACACAG